CCGCCCCACCCATCCTATGGACAGGCCGGTGGGTGCCAGTTATGGCAGCGAGGTGCTCTTGTCTCTGCCCCTCCCCCCCCGCCCAGGCTGCTTCCCTCTCTCACACGGTTCTCTCAGCTCATCACAACGAGAGAGGGGCCAGAGCCACAAAGCCCAGGTGGAGAGCAGGATGGGGCTGGATCCAGTTTGGCTCTGGAGCCAGATTAGGAATCCAAGCCCATTCCCGTCGCTTCAGGGCGTCCGATCCAGGGGGTTGCTTAGGCCCATGGCAGGGTGGGAGGGCCGTGGTGCAGCGCTGAGGGAGGCTGCCCCAGGCAGACAACAGAAAGAGACAAGATCTGACTCCAGGCGGGTGTCCTGCTAATGAAGAGCAGACAGGGAAAAAGTAGGGGCTGCCCCTCTTGCCAAGCCCTCCAGGATCCTTCCACTGGCCCCCTCCCCAGGTGGGAAAGGGCATTGTTCCCAAACTGAGCACAGATTCCCAGACGTGTCCCGCACCCCAAACCCCACGGAAGCCCACGGGAGTTGCAGGCTCTCAGCACCGCTGTGCGTTGCGCTCGATGTGGCCGCTCCCACCCACACTAGCAGGACGACTGTTGGCAGAACTAGCTCGTGGAAGGGGGACAGAAAGAAGGAGGAACTGCCCTAATTGACATCTCGCTTCAAACAGGACGGCGTTTCTAGCACTGACACCGCCAGGGCTGGATTCACTCTTTTGGGGTCAGCGGCGATTAGGTTTCGTGGAGCCCCCCCTGGCTCTGCAATGGGGCCAAAAATGAGGGGTGCAGTGTGGAGAAGGGGCTTCCAAAGAGCAGGTTTGATTGGGAGGGAGGGTGCAGGAGGGAGCTGGGGGTGCAAGGTCGGGAAGGGAGGGTTGGTAAGAGAAAGGCTGGGGTTGGGGGATGGGGTCTGGGCAGGAGGTAAGGTGCAGGAGTGGGGTAGGGGTGCCGGGTCTGGGTGGGAAGTAGGGTGCAGGAGTGGACTGGGCATGGGGGGTCTGGGTGGGATGTAGGGTGCAGGATCTGGGTGGGAGATTGGGTGCAGGATGGGCGGGAGGTGCAGGGTCTGAGTGTAGGAGGCAGCAGTGGATTGGGGGCGCTTACCTGGTGCAGCTCCCAGAACAGGTTCCATGTGGCCCTGCGCTTGCGGACACCAACCCCCACTGCTCCCATTGGCTGCAATTCCTGGTGCAGTGGGGGTGGAGCCTGCAGGTGAGCACTGCTAGTGGTGATGCATGCAGATCCAGCTGCGGAGGGGGAGGGGAAATGGCAGCAGGCAGAGCTACTCCCCCCACGCACCAGGCAGAGCCCCTAACGCCTCTTTCATAATCAGCCCTGGACACATGGACACAGCCCAATGTTACCAGGGATTCTGATCCCCTTGTCTGCCCTTCAGTACACAACGTGCCAGAGAGCCTCCCCTCTGATTCCTGCATCTAGCTCATCATTTCCGGCCGAGCTGGAGCACAGTTCAGAAAGACACCCCCCAGCCCGTTCTGACTGAAAGATTTCCAGTGCTGGGGCATCTCCTAGAGTCCTTGGTAAATCGTCTCAATGGCTAATTACACCCTTTCTCAAAAACACACATCTGACTTCTTGTCTCGTTTTAGCTTCTGGCGTCTGGATCTCCTGCTGCCTTTGGCTGCGAGGTGCAAGAGCCTTCAACTCTCAGAAATACCACCTACTTGTAGGCTGTGAACGAGTCTTACCCGTAAGATCTGGACCACATTAACACCTTCCCAACAAGATCCATGCACCGACTTTAAAAAGATACCGATACGGTTACAGGTCTCAGTTTAGATGAGGCCCAAGGTTGCAACTTGCTCTCCCAGCTACCGAAGGGTTGTCACCACTAGGACCCAGAGAGGAAATCCATCGGCGCTACCTCTGCAAGACATGGCACCAGCTGCAGTTGAAAGTCCGCTCCGAGGTCATGCATGCGTCACAGCTCTGATGCTGGAGACAGGCTGCAAGAAAAAGACACCACACTAGAATCAGGACAATCGGTTACTGTACATTACTAAAGCAAGAGCCAAGGCGGGAGGGGGCGTGGCCAAAAGGGAGGGGGCGTGGCCAAAGGAGACCACTCATAGACAGAGGAGTCAGTGCACCAACTTCGGGCTGCCATGAGCTTGGAAGTAAAGTCGGCATCTTCCTAGAAGGGATGGGATGATAATATTTCGGCAAGAAACTCCCCCCAACCTAGATAACCTCCCCCCCCCCCCGTCCCTCGCGTTCTGT